TTTGACTGACATTGACCATGTGGTCAAAGCTGGTGCCTAACAATTCTTCCCCCCCAACAAAGTCCTTGTCCCAAGGACGAGTTGTACCGGTGATCACCCTTCTAGGGAACCTTGCTCAAGCTCCTGGTCCATCTTCCACAGCCGTATACATCAAGGAGGCATTGGGCCCATCACTCCGAGATAGTACACCTTTCAATTGGCTGATATAAAATACTGGATGAATTTTAACCCCAGCTGGCAACTGCACTTGATAAGCCGCTTTACCAATGGGCTCCAGCACTTCATATGGACCAACATATCGATGGGAAAGTTTATCACTCTTCTCTGTCCGTAAAGGCACCAAGGTATTCCACTGCTCACTTGACGGAAAGATCACTCGCACAAAGACGAAATCACCCACCTTATATTCCCGGAATTGGTGATGCTCATTGGCAAACTTCTCCTCTCTATCCTGAGCTACTCGCAAATTCTATTTGCACACCACTAGAATCTCATCAAGTTTCAAATGCAATCCTAACTCCACCGCTGTTCAAGGATGCCTTCCAAACATGGCAAAGTAAGGATTTAATTTGGTTCCACTGTGTTTGCTATTGTTGTAAGCAAATTGCACTAACAGAAGATATAGATCCCATTGTCCTTGCCTTTAACCAATGCTACAACGTAGCATATCCTCCACCACCTGATTCACATGCTCGGTTTACTGATCCGTCTGAGGATGATCTCCAATCAAGAGTTTCAAAGTCACTTACATAGCCTTTTCAAAACTTTTCCAAAATCCACTGGTGAACTTTGAATCTTGATCACTAATAATGTCCTCCAGCAAACCAAAATCAGGAAAAACCTTCTCCAAGTAAACTACAGTGAAGTCTGAGGCAATGATAGTCTTCTGAAGAGCCAACAACCACACGGGAAGAACACGTATGAGTTGATTAAGTGCAATTTTTATTGGAGGAATATGAAAACTAATATCCTCAAGTATTGTAAATCATGCAAGCTTTGTCAGTGGGTTAAGGTGCCACGGGAGAAGTTAGGGGGACTTTTGCAACCTTTACTTATTCCTCAGAGCCATTAGTGTAGTATCTCTATGGACTTCATCACTTGTTTGCCACAAACATAGAGGCAAAAGAAGCAAGTATAGGTCATATTGGATCGCCAAAATGACTGGCTTTGGACGATCATGATAGTGGAATAAAATTTGAGTAATTAACGCATCCATCTGTGGCAAATATACATGGCCATTGTAATAGAGAATCCCATCCACCAATGAGAAAGGGGCTTCTATCTAGTCTTGCAAAGAGGCCACCTTAGCATCCTGAGCCTGAGCATACTCAACCAACTACCCAAACTTGCTGACCACCTTACTCAAGTGATGACAAAATTGTGTTTGTAATGTCGTCACATAACGAACACGAGATAAAGCATCTACCACCACATTTGATTTCCTGGACGATACTCAATAGGAAACTCCCTAAAATCCATGAGTTTGACCATCCAACAAGCTTGCCTAGTGTTCAACTCCTTTTGTGTGAAAAGATACACAAGTGGTTTATGATCTTTCAACACCACGAACATCATATGTGGAATAGTGTTGCTCCGCGGAATTCAAAGTTCGACTCTCATATGCAATAGGCTGTCCCTCTTGCATGAGAACTCCTCCCAGTGCATAACCACTCGCATCGCATATCACCTTGTAAAGTTTCGATGGATCAGCAATGCAAAGCATTGGAGTCTCGCTTAACAATCGTTTCAGTGCCACAAAACTCTCCTCTTGTGGCTTCTTCCACTCGAATGGCATATTTCTTGCGTAACAACTGCATCAAAGGAATAACCACCTCTGCAAACTTATGCTGGAAACATTGGTAGTAATTAGCTATACTAAGAAAACTGTGCAACTCGGCCACTATACTCGGTGTAGGCTAATTTTCCACCATAGCCACCTTCCTTGGATCCGTTTTGACACCCTTAGATGTCACAATATGGCCTAGATATTCCACCTCCGACTTTGCAAACTCACATTTGCTCTTCTTTGCATAAAGTTTGCTGTCTCGGAGTAATAAAAGAACCTTGCACAATGCACCTTATGCTCCTCCATATTCTTGCTAAAAACAAGAATATTGTCCAAGAAAAATCTCCACAAACTCATGAAGATGATGCCCAAATACCTCTGTCATCAACTGACTAAATGTGGCTGGTGCATTTGTCAAATCAAACAGCATAACTGTAAACTCAAAATGTTCAAAGCTTGTGTTGAATGCCATCTTGGAGATAGATGCATCATCCATTGCAATCTAATGATATCCACTCCTCAGATCAATCTTGGTAAACAGTCATACTTCACCAAGCTTGTCTAGGATATCATGCACATGTGGCATCGACATCTTATCCTTCACTGTCTTCTTGTTCAAAGCGCGGTAGTCAATACACATTCGCATTAAACCGTCCTTCTTCTTCACAAGCAAGACCGAAGCACCAAATAGAGACTTACTTAGCTGAATAATTCCAAACTTAAGTAACTCCTTGACTTATCGTTGAACTTCTTGCTCCTCCGCATAACTTAACCGAAATGGATGCCGGTAAATTGGCCGCGTCCTCGACTCCAATGTAATCCCATGCTCCACACCTTGTAATGGAGGCAACTTATGAGGAAGTTCAGATAAAATAACATCAAAAAACTTGTCAAGTACATCCCATACTGTTGCTTCTCCCCCACACATGCCTTGGTCCCCCAAGTCACAAACAAACAGCAAGTAACTCGAAAGTGCTTTTCCATTATGACAAGCCGCTTCAAAGATGTAGTAGAGAGTAGAACAACTGGTGGTTGAATGCCCTTGTCAAACCACACATCTTTAACACCATCATACTCCAGCTAGACACGCTTAATACTCCACTTTATCTTTGAATCCACCTTCACCAACCATGGCATCCCAAAAATGAGATCCACACGATGGATATCCACGAGATAAAAAGTCTCCAAAAGTGTGGTTTTGCTAACCAACACTTCCAGCTCCTCGACACAAGCATCGAAATGCTGAGCAGAGGTAGTTGCACCTTCCATCATGTATGGAAGAACTCCATGTATGACCAGGCCATGCTCCGCAACAAACTTTGCCGAAACAAAGTTGTCATCGCTCCCACTATCCAGTAAAATCCACACTAGATCGCCACGGAACACACCCTCTAGCACTAAAGCTGATTCACGAGTATCCTCAAGCTCCATCTTGTTCCATACACAGTTGAGTTGACGAGCAATGATCAAAAGTCTCTTCCTCCGACCAGAATGGTCGTTCTCGTCATCCTCACACTGCAAAGTTTGCAACTTTTTAGTATCTAACTTACTGTGAGTAGAAGATTGGCCATTCTTCTGGTCCTACTGCTTGTTCTTCAACTGTGGACAATCAGCCTTGTAGTGTCCAAGTTCGCCACAATGATGACAACTTTGTCTATAATTCTTCATAAAGAACTTCTGCTTCTTAGACCCCTTTGCATCCGAAGTAGTCACCACTGACTTCAACTTGTGATGCTTGTTCCCATCCTTGTGTCCACGGCGATCATCACAACGATTCTCGACAAAAGGACTCCGCGAACGCTTGCGAGACTTGTGCTTGTCATTGTCAAGTCGACGAGCTGCATCAAAGAGCTCCTCCAAACTCTTTGTAGGCTGAGAATGACGCAAGTGGTGCCGCATGCTCTCACTATGTAGGCCATCAATGAAGTAGGACTTGTTCTGATCTGGATCCTTCGTTGGAACACGACTAATCAAGCGAGTAAGCTTCTTAATAAAGTCCCTGAGTGTCATTTTCCCTCGCTGGAAATGTTGAAGTTCTGTACGAGCATTCTTCACGTCGTAATGAGGGGCAAAATGTAAACGGAAAGCAGCCTCAAACTCATCCATGGTAGACACTGGTGGTTTCTTATCCGCAACACAGGACTCCTCAAGCCAATTCCACCATCGAAAACCCACATCACACAAAACCATTGGAATAATCACTAAAGCCTCTGCATCTAGAGTTCCCCTAACAGCCACACAGTGGAGTGGTGGTGCAGTGGAGCTTTTGAGGTAGCTCGGGGGTGGTTGGGTGGTGAGGAACCTCAAGAGGTGGTGTAGCATAGTTTAGGGCGACTAGATTTCTGTCTTTTTGCGCCGGATCATAACATTGGTATCAGAGGAGTTAGTTGCGATGGTCGACCAAGCTAAACGCTGGAATCCTATTGCCGATGATGGTGCCGATGAAGCTGTGGAGATTTGGACCATTCAAGTTCAAGCCCTAGGGTAGGGTTGAGTCCTTTACCTTAACATGCTTTAATATACCCTTGAGCCTCCCTTTGACCGACGTTGACCACGTGGTCAAAGCTGGCACCTAACATCTTCATAATTCTGTCTTTCTGCGTGCTCCATCCATAAATGCCTGCATCCAAATCCCCGAGACATCACTTGTATACCTTTGTGCATCTCCTTGCTATCTATCCTCCTTGTGCTTCTAGAACCACTAGCCTATTCCTCTTGCTAATGGTTTTATAGAAATACCTCCATGCTTTTGAACAATCTCTGATTTTGGGCGGCACTCTTGCAGGCTCTTTCAGCAATGTGACCATCTCCTTGGTCACAACTCCAATCGTTCTATCCTACAAGTTATCATAGTCATAAAACAAAAAACAAAAATGAACCACAGCATCCATTTGAAGTGAGTCTGGATTTAAGAGATCGGTGTTTGTGGACAAACAAGACTATGTCGCATGCTTGCTTGATATCCAACAAGATCTTTGCTTTGAAATGATTTTCTCTGTCCGATGGCTGATCACTTGCAGCCTGCAATGCACCACAAACCAACTGGAACACGTGGAAGATCTACCAGCGTGACATTTGGCAAAAGGATTTTCAGTCTGATTTGCTTGTTGGAGACTCCTTTCTTGTCACCAAGAACCAAAAAGAAGAAGAAAAACAAATCATAAGCTCACATTGTATGAGAAAGAAAGACACTGATCTACTTGTGGCTCCCGACTAAGAATGAAATACATTTATATTGTAGTTTATATTTAACTTTTAATCTTTAGTCAAATAGCATCTTTATGAACAAACGTAGCCTCCACCAACCATGAATCAACGAAAGCCAAGATGTTATCTTTATCGATAACACCAAGCAAAGCCTTTGTGCCAAGATCCACTTTCATTTTCTTTTCACCTCTTCTAATAGAAGCTCGACTGCTGCACGCTTCCTCCCTCAAATAAAGGTTACCTAACTGCTTCTTCAGATTAACATCTGTAGAAACCAAGAGTTTAATGCACCCATTACGAGCTAACTCTCGAAGAGAGTCAGCACCAGTAACTTCAGTTGGGGTCGGTGTACTCTTGTGTTGGAAAAGCTTGTTCAGATCCAAGGTATAAAAAGCATTATTGACTTCACCCTACAACAAAAGAAAAAAGTCCAATTACATCAAAAGATGACATGTTGCTTACCTGGTAAAGCGCCTTACTTGTCTTAACTTGCACAAGAACGGGAACAAGGATCATCGGGTGTTGCTGCTGCGAGGTGGAGCAAGCAGTGTCAGTCTCTGAGACTTGTCCTTGACCACCTCCATCTCCCTCCGACATGTCTAGAAAAAACAAGGCGTCTGGCCCAAATCCGGATTCTCCTGTCCATAAAACGGATGGGAAAATGTCCCTCTCCTTGACAGCATTGATGTACTCCTGCAGAGTATATCTTGATGCGTTGACATCATACACATCTGAGCCTTTACTATGCTCGTGTCTCATCTGCGCCACTTGTTCACTGTGGATCCTTGGTTTCACAAGCTTCGCTCTTCTAGTGTAGATTTCTGGAATCTCTAACTCATGTGAAGTGACCGTGTACACACCATCTTGAAGAAACCTAGAGATCAAATTTGCAGGTTGCATCCCGTCCATTGCGTTTGCAATCATCTCCACTGCAATCATTTCGTATCCGTGCCCAACTCCGCTGCTACTTGACTGGGCGTTATAACAATAAGCAGTATCCGCTATACTCGATAGGCCTGCTGGTTCGCCGACAGTTAAATAGTGCCACAAAGAATGGAGAACCAGAGGCTCCTCAATACGCAATAGAACGTTCGCTGTGTCTGACTCGTCCTTCCAAGAATCCAAATCTTGCATTTCAAGCGTCCGACGGCCATCCAACCTCGCTAGTCCGTATTGAATTAAACTCAAGCTGGGGTTCTTGACAGCAACATACGTAGCATTCAATCCATAGAACTGATGGAAGAGTATAAGACTCAGTTTTTCGAGA